GATCATCGGCATTATGGTAAGGAGCATGTTTTTTCCGTATATGCTCGTACAGCAGTTTCTGTTACGCATGCCATGGAGGAGGGCTGGAAACAGCAGTGGTTCTACAGCATCATGGCATCGAGTTTCGGCTTGCAACTCAGTGTCCGACTTGGAAGTAAGTACTCAGCTAGATCTTAGCGCACCTCTGGTTGAAGGCATCGTTGCATGCTGTAACCGTAGATTAAAACAATGATCTGTAGTTGTGTTTGCATTGTTGTCGTTCGCGTGGCTTGCGGATGAATGACCTGTAGTTGTGCATTGCGGATCTGTTAAATTGCTTGAGTCGTGTTCAAGGTAGGAAACGTTTGTTCGATCACAGTGGCAGCCATGACCACTAGCGCTCGTGAGTGGAGAGCGGCGCGCGAAGAAGATATCAGGAAGGCTTACGCCGACAAAGAATGTTGGACTGACCTTGACCGCATTACCTGTTGGCACCCTTACTGTTTCGGGTCCATAGAGGAGTGGCCATTGGACGCTGCCGTGATCTGCAAACCTACGGATCGAGCGTCGGTGCTGCTTGGCAGCATCAAAGCGGCCTGCAGCTTGGAAGACATTTGCCAGGCTCTGTCGGTGAAGGTCACCGTGGTGGTGACCATGTGCGCAAATGAAATGAAGATTCGAGGCGCCCCAAAGGATTGGGCGCAGTATTTCCAGCAAGAAAATGTCTATCACGTCAAGTGTCATTTGGAAGACACGACATTGAAGCCGCCGCACCGTTGGGAGGAAAGAATCCCTGACTTGGTAGCTTCTTGTTTGGAACAGTGGAAAATTGTTTGTGGCCAACTCTGGAAACAGTCCATGCTGGCAGTGACCAGGGGCGAATCCATGCACGTGCTCTTTCATTGCTTTGGAGGCATCAATCGAAGCGCTGGGGCTTTATGTGCTTGGCTCGTCGTGGGTTACAACTACCCTGCAGAGGATGCCGTCCAGTTGCTGCTTAAGAAAAGACCTTCCTTGCGCCCTTGGCACAATCGCCCCTATGTCTTGGAGGCTTTGTGGCAGCTGGAAGGTTTGCGGGCCGAGTGGCACATGGAACTGAGCGCGGCGTGCACAAATTGATTTGCACCACTGTTCGCCTGGAGAAACTGTTCGTGGCGAACGTGGTAGATCAGTAGCCAACTGTTGTTTGTCTGTAAACAATTGTTCGATCCTGTAGGGACATCGAAGAAATGGAGTGCAACAGGTGTTATCTATGCCATCATGCTATCGAACTTGTTTTTGTGGAATCATTCACTGCGTACACAAACGAATTTGCACCACTGTTCGCCTGAGGAAACTGTTCGTGGCGAACGTGTGACATGAGTAGCCAAGTGTTGCTTCTCTGTAAGTATTGTTCGATCCTGTAGTGACATCCGAGAAATGCAGTGAGCGAAAACTCGTCCAGGCCATCATGATATCGAACTTGTTTTGTGCCCGGAATCATTCACTGCGTTCACTTGTTGTTTTTTGGATACCAATTTTTAAACATTTCCAATCCAAAGCTGTGTTTGCGCACCTTTGTTTGGAAGTGAGGTCATACACGGCATCATGGTACCGGGCTTATTTGCTATGTCAAACTCCGGAGTCGTGTTTTCACGATGCGTTTCGCTGAATAGATGTGACGTTTGTAGGTCAAGCTGTGGTGGAAATATCGAAACCTTGCGCTTTCAACTAATACTTCTGTAGCCTGCATTAACAGCATGTCGCGCCTGGCAGCCGATTGCTTTACAGCTGCGGGGAGATTGCAATATACTTGTATTACATTCTGTTTTCAAATGAAGAAGCAAGAGATTGTACCCATTATGGGTCTTGGTGTTGAAGGATACCCGGCGGCAGCGCCCACATCGTTGGACATGACAGCAGTTAACAACAAACAAAATTTTGGTGCACAAACGTGTCGCATAAAGTATTTGGGGATTTAAATGTGGTCTGCCATGGCAGCGAATGCGGAGGGAATCCGTGCAAGGGCGGATGTCTTTGATGAACAAATTCTACGACACGTTCTTTCATTTGTGCCTGGGAGCTCTGAATTGGCTCCAAAATATTCTTTGCAACCAGAAACCGGACACTATCTGGTAAAAGCTGGTTGGCCAGTTGTTTTGAAGAAAATGTGTCATTGGAAGGAGGCAGACACCACCATCTGTATTTGCTGCGGTGCCAACCAAGAACCCGGCGATCCAAACGAGTCAGACGATAGCTGGACATCTCAGCAAATCTCTGCTGGCTGGGCAAAGATCATGACCGTGACAATACCACACTTTCGTCATCATCATCTGAAATATATCAAAAAAACAGTCAGAAGCATAGAACATGTTTGGAGGACAATGGCAGCCGAGAGATGTTACATCTGCGGGCACTGCAACGACTGCGTTGTGAATCTCGAGTATGAGCATCCTGCTGACTGGCTGGAAGATCTTTCTGCGTTCACAGAGATGCTGGAACTTAGGTCGTGTCCGTGGAGGTGCCCAGATAAAGATCGACTGCAGTAGCCGGATTGCTGCAGTAGTAAAAGCGGCAAACATGCCACATCTGCAGCATCATGGTACCGACCTTTGCTTGGACGCAGCTTGTGGGAGCTGGAAGGCTTGCGTACCGAGTGGCACTGAGTGCAACTGGCGCAAATTAATCTGTAGCACTGTTCGTCTGGAGAGACTGTTCGTGACGAACATGCAAAACCAGTATGTTCGTCTGGAGAGACTGTTCGTGACGAACATGCAAAACCAGTAGCCAACTGTTGTTTGTCTGTAAAGTTTTTTTCCATCCTGTAGGGACATCGGAGAAATGCAGTGAAACAGGTGTTATCCTTGCCATCATGCTATCGAACTTGCTATCATTCACAGCATTCTTGCACGGAGTTCTAGTTTCTTACGGAGCCTTTGTTTGTGTACTTTTGCATTTTGTAGCATTTCCATTGCGACTATGTTTGCCCACCTTTGTTTGCAACTAAGGTCATCCACGGCATCAGGGAGCTGGAAGGCTTGCGTACCGAGTGGCACTGAGTGCAACTGGCGCAAATTAATCTGTAGCACTGTTCGTCTGGAGAGACTGTTCGTGACGAACATGCAAAACCAGTATGTTCGTCTGGAGAGACTGTTCGTGACGAACATGCAAAACCAGTAGCCAACTGTTGTTTGTCTGTAAAGTTTTTTTTCCATCCTGTAGGGACATCGGAGAAATGCAGTGAAACAGGTGTTATCCTTGCCATCATGATATCGAACTTGCTATCATTCACAGCATTCTTGCACGGAGTTCTAGTTTCTTACGGAGCCTTTGTTTGTGCACTTTTGCATTTTGTAGCATTTTCATTGCGACTATGTTTGCCCACCTTTGTTTGCAACTAAGGTCATCCACGGCATCATGGTGCCGAGCTTCTTTTGTATCTCAAAGGTCTTTGTGTGGAAATGCGTCTGACCTCTCTCTCTCTCTCTCTTTATCTCTTCCCCCTCTTTCTCTCTGTGGTTGCAAGACACATGTCATCTGATGCCCTTTACCAAATATTCTCTTCTTGATCAATCTTACTTTTTTACATCATGTCTTTCCATAGCTCATATAAAATTCACCAATAAAATTCACCAACTATTCACCGACTATCTTTTACGACTACCATACTCAGAGCTGCTTGAAACACATCTTTTTCGCTCTCGGGCCAACCGTCGTCTAGTTCTGTTTCTCCTCTACTTTTTCTCACGCGGTCTTGCTCTGTGGATGGGGTGTGGTGGGGGGGTGGGGTGGGATATTAACGTCATGTGCAGAGTGCGTGGAACACACTCTTGCCTAACACGCTCTTGATGTTACGCTCAGCACTTTTTCCTAGCAACTTCTAACACGCTCTTGATGTTACGCTCTGCACTTCTTCAGGGAAGGTCCAACACGCTCTTGATGTTACGCTCTGCACTTCTTCAAGGAACTTCTCACACGCTCTTGATGTTGCGCTCAGCACTTTTTCCTAGCAACTTCTCACACGCTCTTGATGTTACGCTCTGCACTTCTTCAAGGAACTTGTAACACGCTCATGATGTTATGTTCTGTAGTTTTCTAAGAAATTGAAACACGCTCTGGATGTGATGCTGTTGCCTGACTATGTCCCAGGTTTATCTAAATGCTTTTACCACAATTCCATTGTTTGTGAGTTAAAGTGATGGGGTTCATGAGGATTTTAATGGTAGTCTTTGAACGCTTCCCTTCGCGAGGTTGGAGTCCGGTTGGAGCGTATCAAAATTTAACTCGCGTCCTGCAAAGCTTGTGATGGAAATACACACTTGCAGATACAACATTGATAATAAAACGAAGTAGTTTGTCGCAGGATTTGAGAGAATCCAAAAAATGGACGAAACCAGAAAACCCTGCGAAAACACAGGGAAAGTGAACTTGCGACGGTTGGAAAAACAGGCGGCGTTCTATCCGCCGCTTACCATGTAGTTATATGTATATATCTTTTTTTTCGGCTGCCAACTTTTCCAATCCCTTCCCTCTCAGCATTAAATTCCCACATAGGGGGCCCCGGAATGAGTAGATTCGATACTATTAGCAAAAAACATATTTCAATTTTGGGGAGAAGGAATTCTCTAGGTTTCAATGCTTGATGGTTTACCAGTAGTACCGCACAAGGTGGTGGCGGAAGTCTCAAAGATAGGAAACTGTGAATGCAATTCGTGTTTACCATGCACACATATTGGTGCAATCATTTTCACAACATTTCATCAGCCAATTGACCTGACTGGCTGCTTTTCAGGCACAAGGCAGCTTTTTGACTTTCAGGTAGAAAAGGTTGGCACATGGCATTTGCAGTGCTGTGACTTCGACATTGGTAGGCGGAGCAGGCACGTTCCTGCGGACTTCTACGGTGACCTTCACATCTTCTTAGGCTACCCAACTTCATCATTAACCCCTTGGACTTGCTTGACACCTTAGGCGGCATCACATGGTCCAGCAATGGACAAGTGGCGGGACCCGTGTTCGGGGGAGTGGCTGGTCCTAGCCCCATGGCGAGCGGAGGTCATAGAGCCGATGGCGACGTTGCTGAAGAACATGAAGAGAGTGAGCCTGACCGTGAGAGACCACGGCCTGAGGCTTTGGATGGTAGGAACGATGATGAGCAGGGTGAGAGCGAGCACTGGGGCGGATGGTCGCATGAGACTCCGGGGACTTGGTGGGGCAACCGTCACTATGGTGGTTGGTGGAGCTGGCATTGGGATGACTGGCGCCACGACTGGGAGCCGAGGCGAGATGAGAAGGTGGCCCGGGTTGAAGAAACTACTTGGGCGATGGATGGCCGCTGGGTTGGAGGCAGTAGCACCCCAGCGGGTGAATCATGGCGGACCGGAGACGATGGTGCTTCGGGCAAGCCGACGGAGAAGATGGTGGTCGCCGAGTTCGATGGCGATGGTGGCGAAAATGAGCTGGGCACCACCGCACGCTCATACCTGAGGAAAGTTGGGGCATGCCTGCGGTGCACCAAGCTCCCTGAGCGCGAGCGTGGCTTGGCGCTCTACACCCACCTCAAGGGCCGGGCTTGGGTCTTTGCGGAGGAGCTGGACTTGGATCGGCTCGGGGCCATTGGAGGTGCTGAGTACTACTTGGGGTGGGTCAGAATCCGCTTCATGGAGATGGAGGTGAACAAAGTGGCATCGGTCATGACGGAGCTCTTCAAGAAATGCCGCCGCAAGCCAGAGCAGGCGGTGAGGGACTTCAACATGGAATTTGAGCGTTTGCTGTTGCGCCTTGGAGAGCTGAATTGCGAATTGCCAGCTCTTGTCAAAGCTTGGCTCTACCTCGACGAGAGCGACGAGGCACTCTTGGCCTCTGTGAACAACCAGTACGACCTGCGTTGCCCACAACAGGCGGCAATCATCCATGATCGTGGAGTTGCACGACGATCGTGGGAACGCCCTGGCAATGGGGGGCGTTGGAAGCAGCAATCAGTGCATGTGACGGCTGCTGGAGATGATGCCTGGAGCGATGAGCACGACGGAGACGCTGGTGGTGCATTGGACGACCATGAAGAATCCGATGCGGAGTTGGTGGAGGAAGATGTGGCGTCTGGACTCCACAGTGCATTCATGGCGTTCCAGGATGCAAAGTCTCGCTGTCGCGAGGCAATGAAGGGCAGGGGCATGGACCGGGAAGAGATGAAGAAGAGGAGTGAAGAAAGATTGTGCCTTGCAAAGGCGCGCAGCTACTGCTCAGCCTGCAAGCGAAAGGGGCACTGGCACCGAGATCCTGAATGCCCTTTGAAAGGAACTTCACGGAGCAGTGCCACGGCTGAGGGTGCAAAGAGCGCGCAGATGTGACAGATGTGCACCCACCATGTGCAGATGTGCTATATGACTGCCGATGTGGACATTCCTGAAGAGACCTATGGCGAGCGCGAGACTGTGGTCTTCATGGCGGGCGATGCTGGCGATGGTGGCCAGCGTGCCGGGGGAGGTGAGAGACCCTGCGCGCTGGCCATTGCAGACACAGCCTGCACGAAGACGGTGGCTGGGCATCAATGGTATGAAGACTATTGTCGTTGGGCAGATGATCGTGGGCTGCCCATCGAGATAGTCGAGGAGAAGGATCAGTTCAAGTTTGGTGCATCGAGAATCCACCCTTCCATGTTTGCGATTTGGGCAATTTTTGAAGTGGGTGGCAAGTTGATCCGTGTGAAGGTAGCCATAGTTCAGTGCAGGGTCCCACTTTTGTTTAGCCGCACAGTTCTTGCAAAGCTTGGCATGGTTTATCATGTAGGAGCCCAAAGGGCAGATTTGACACATTTAGGGCTTTTTGATTTAGAGATGGCCGTGTCAGAAACTGGACACCCCGCTTTTGTGGTCACTGACATTGGTGACAGGGCCAACTGCGGATCTGAGTTCCTTTGGAGCGGCGATCCGGAGGTCCAACTCTGTGACAGCTCTGTGGTCGAGCAATACATGGCTGAGCCGATTCATGCGGGGGGCGGGAGTGCACAAAGTTTCAGACCTTTATTTTTTCCAAAGAAGATCTCAACAACTGTGAACAACATGCTCCAAGATCCTGATCTTTCTCCTTCATCCTTTTTCATGTGGTGGAAGAGCGCGAATCAAGAAGAGATTTTTGGGTGGAGAACTCGAATGAAATGATCAGAGTGCATGTGGTTCCCCGAAAAGAAGCATTCAATCCTTCATTTTGGAATGCAAGAACTGAAAGGCCGTTTGTTGGACATGCTTGGAAGCGAGAGAATCACTGACCTCATACCATGTCATTCAGATGGTCTTCAACATGTTCGATTAGTCAGCGATTGGAATGCAGAACACAATGAATCGCACTGCAAGCATGCTGGTGGACTATGGATTGGACGTAGCCGTTTTCAGAAACCAAGATCAACTAGCTCGCCCCGACATCGGCAGCCCACGCTGCCAGACCATGTCAACGGTGCCGACTTCACCATAGCGCATGAACAAGGCGGAGTTGACCCGCGAGCTGGATGCATTGCAGATTCCCATCCACCCGAGGTGGACTCTCCCAGAGCTCAGGCAGACGGTGATCGAGCACCGCCAGCAGAGGACGGGGAAGAGGAGACGGCAATCAAGGGCTTGGGGCGCATGACACTGGACGAGCTCAAGGCCAAGTGCACGGAGCACAGTTTGAGAGTGCCGACGAAAGCCACACGAGGGCTCCTCATCAAGATGCTGCGTCATGCCTCGCAGCCAAGTGGGGATCAGGTGATGAACTTCGGCAAGTACAAGTCATGGATGTACAAGGAGGTGCCGGTGGACTACCTCCGCTGGGCGGTCTGGGAGTCGGAGGCGAACGACACGGCGGGGGACGATCTCTGCCACTTTGCGGCATGGGCATAGGGGGAGCTGGCGAAGCAGTCGACATATGCACAGAGGTGCGGGGCTGTTCCCTACAACATGGACCCGGAAGCCAAGGCGATCACTCCGGTCCCGAAGGTGGCGGTATCTTCCGCGCCATGCAGCAGCTGGTCGCGGGTGTCTTCAAGGGGAACTCCAAAGAGGGCATCGTCCGAGGCGGAATCGGGGGTGTCGGCAATGGATGCGGAGTTGCCGGAGGAGGCACAAGCGGAACTGCTGAGGCTGGAGACCGAGATCGCGCTGGTGAAGCAGAAGTACTTGAAATCCTGGTTTTGTTATAACTAGTTATGGAAGTTATGTTAGTTAGTAACAAGGTATAACTTTTTTTTCGGCTTGCCTTTAGTGTCATTCCGCTGCATGATGAAAATTGGTATTTTTAGTAGAAAAGCTGCTTTTAAAATTAATATATGTAGACTTGCACCATGGACATACGTGTTTTTTTTCCATGTTCAGAAGCTTTATTTTCAAAAAAAACATGGGTAGCTGAGAAGCTTTTGCTGTAAACTCATGGAACATGCATGTGAGCAGCAGCTATCTTTTTTCCAAGCTTGGCGATAAATTTGGCAAGGTAGCACCACAGTGGCTGCTGTCTTGTAAGATAATACTTGGTGCATGGAACTGATTAAAACATTTTGTCCATGGGAATGAAGCCAGTGGAGCTTCCAATGTGGCATTTGGCATGGTGCTTCTCCAAGGCATCAATGGTCCACAGTGCACAGGTCAACCAATGTGGTTGCCATGTCAAAAATGGCACCCCTTAATGGTTGGCACCCTGTTGGGTATTTACTTGGCTTCCAGTCACTGGCTGCCATGCAAGGGTGCTGACAGCCTGCACCCTGCTTGGCAGCCAGTGACTGGAAGCATCAAGTTGCAGGTGCCTGACCCACATGTGCAGTGCCATGGTGCCAGCTATGAGTCATTTGGCGATGGAGAGCTGAATGGCAGCCCTCCTTGTTTGGGGTGGCCCAGCCAGGTCACAGGTTGGGCCACCCCCCCTCCCACCCTACCTCCCTCTATGGGGCAAACCCTGCTTTCAACCCAGTGGCACTGGGTGGAAAAAAGGGGTCGTTCCAATGGGCATAGATTCTGTGGCATAAAGTCTTCCCCATGGCTGGTGGCTCAAAGGAGTGCAGTGGCATCCTCTCTTTGGCTTGGGTTTGGTCACATGGCTGTGGATGAAAGCTTGTGGGTGGTGCCCATATGTTCTACTGGGAAACTATCACTACATGCATCCATGGAAAACATCTGCCCCAAGGTTTGTTTACCATGATATGGTGCATGTGCGATTTATGCCAAAAAGTGTTTGTGGGCCTGTGATGCTATCAGCATACCATAGACAAAATAAGTCTTTGATGCAAGTTTCCCATAGCTGCAGTGATGATGGGATGGGTCTCTGTCTGTATGTATAAGGCCTGGAATGGCTGTGGATGACAAAAGGAGAAAATCAACAATGGATATGGTTTGCATCTGAAAGTTATTGCAACAAATAGCTGGAAGGTTTTGAATTTGAGAACGTGGTCTTCTTGAATTTGAATATGGAAAGAAACATGGTCTTTGTGAAAGACTTAACATTGGAATAGCTGCATTGTGGCACTAGTGTGGTGGCATTTCCAGAGATTGTTTGGCATGATATGGGAAGCCATGGATGGCTTTTGCAACCTAAAAGATTGTAATATGTCAAGGTAGTTTCCAAAAATGAATAGGTGGAAGAAAAAACAGTATGCAGATATGGGAAGCCAAGGTGGCTTTTGCGATCTGGAAGATGGAAACCCACATGCATTGGCTGCAAAATAAAGATTCTGGAAAAACAAGGGGTACAAACAACATGTACATATGGGAAGCCAAGGTGGCTGTCATGGCCGCCCCACCCCATCCCAGCAGCAATGCATATTTTGCACACACAGACAAATTGGGAAGGTATACATTGGTGGATGCCCAAGTCCTAGCTGTCACTTCATGGCCTTCATGGCCTTCATGGCCTTCTGGGCTTTCATGGCTTTCTGGACCTTCATCTTGGGCATCGCTTTGGGCAATGCTCTTTTGGTCCCCTTCATGGCCTTCATCTCTGGCATCTTGGTCTTCATGGGCTTGGGCTGGTGGATCTCCAAGCCATTCTTCATGAAGCTGGTCCTCCATGGTGTCATGCACACCTGGCAGTTTGGGAGCACCCAAAGGCGCCAACCCCAAATCCAACTGGTGCATCCCTTGGTGCTGCAGCAAAGACGCAGCAGTGGCCCAAGTGGCTTGGTTCCATCACCCTCTGGCATGGCAGACTTGCTGGTGTCTTTCTTGGACTCCATCTTGGTGGCCTTCATGGAATTCATGGCGACCTTCATGCTGGTCTTCATGGCTTTCATGGTGGAAAGCTTAGGAGCCATGGCTGCACTGGGCAGGAGATGGATGCACCTACAGGTGGTGGCACAGGCGAGCTTGGGGCTTTGGAATGGCTTCCACAAAAAAAGTCAAAACACATGATCATATGTAAACATAAAATTGGTTTTGATTGTCACCGTGGAAACCCATATGGTTTACCCATATGGTTTATCATCATGGAAATGCATATGCTATTCAAATGGGTCATGCAATGGGGAGATATAGAAGTTTCATGGAATGCCACATAGCTATTGAAAGTGAAGCTGGGAACATGGAAGGCCATATGGGTTTTCTTCTGTATAGCAATCAAAGATTGGGAAGAATATGGCATTGGTGGTTCAAGAAAAACCATGGAAGGCACATGGGAGGCCAAAAGGCTTTTGCTAAGCTGGAAGCAACATGCTCAACATGGGAAGCCATGTTGCTTTTGTTAAAAGCAAGAGGTATACACCAGCTGTAAACACACAGCTGGATTACGAATGGCAAAAACATGGGCACATGGGAAGCCAAAAGGCTTTTGGCAGCAAGCTTTCTGTTTGGCCTGCTGGATGCTTGCATCTGGGAATGGTGGAACTGGCGCAAGCCCCCACATGGGTCTCCGCAATGGCCGCTGCTGTGTGAACGAAGTTGTCGAACTGAGGCTCAGCCCTCCAAGTGCCCATCATGGAACCTATCTGGTTCTAATTCTCTTGGTTGTAGTGGTGGACAAGGCTGTATGCGTTGGACTGCCAAGTCCTTTGGACTGCCAAGTCCTTTGGACTGGCCTGACCCCTTTGGAGGAAGGATTGTTGGGACCTCTCTAGATCCTAGGTGAACTAGACAATGGCATTGGTGGTCACCTGTGGTGGTCAATGGATTTGGTTGCGTATACATAACTGATCTTATTGGTGCTTGAACCAAAAAATAATCATATCATAAAAATTTCTTGTTGGTTGGAATATCATATATATGCAATGATAATAACATTGGGTGTCCAAAGACCAAAGTAATTGAAACACAATGATATCAAACATGGATGGAATATTACATATATTGTTGTCTTTACATTCATGTGATGCCATGTATGGTTTTTGATATATCATGGTATGGGAGGCCACAAGGCCTTTTTGCAAAGTACATGGTATGGGTGGCCGTATAGGCTTTAATTGTATTGTAACATGGGATGCCATGTAGGCTTTCAAAATATATTTGCATATTTCAATATTTTGTATATATCCAATATTATCAAAGAGTATCAATTACAATTCTAAGCCAGGTATGTAAATATATATATATAATATTGGCAAAACTGTATATTTAACAAATAATCATATATATGAAAAATAAATAATTTTAGTTGTATCTAAATATCGACAAAATATTTCAAAAAATAACTTTAATTAAAATCAAAAATAAATGAGTTTGATCTTAAATTCACTTGTTGGCTCATATTAAATTAATGCATTTGCTTATTAAAAGTTTTCTTTAACAACTAAAACTATTATCTCAAATTTGACATTCTAGGCTCAAAAGCCCCAAAAAATAGAAACAAATACGTTCAGCTGCTGAACCTAAATTTCACAATTTAATTTTTAGGTTCAGCTGCTGAACCTAAATCTCAAAAATCCTGATTTAGGTTCAGCTGCTGAACCTAACTCCCAAAATCTTGCTTTTAGGTTCAGCTGCTGAACCTAAAGCCCAAAAGTGTTGATTTTAGGTTCAGCTGCTGAACCTAACATTCTGAAGTGCTGACAAATAGGTTCATCTGCTGAACCTATTTGTTTTTGCCACCAAACTTATATTCAACAGCCAAACCTATTTGTTTTTCATTTTTTTTTGGTAAAATTATGGCCAAGATCCATAATTTGAGGTGAAACCAAGAAAAAAAACAATACTTAAAATTTTTCATTTTTTGAACACATTCAAACCCAAATCAACTCCACAAAACAATACATGATTGATATTGTGTTCAAACAGTATGCTGTTTTGTGTTTACTATACAATGTGCATATAATAAAAATGATACATTATACCCACAGTGGTTGTATTATATGACAAGGCTTCCAATGTATCTGCAAGACACAAATACTAGTCAAATTGAAACAGAATTTTATTTTTATATATTATTGTGCACCTTTTTCCAAGATTGCTGGCATAGATGTTGGCCTCTATTCATTGGGATCCCATCCCTTATGGGGTCCCAGTTCTTAGACACCAAGTCAGAGACCCATCCAATAGTTCACTGCAGCCATGGGAAACCCTCCAAGCTCACCAGAAGGAGTGAACTGAGTGAACCAAGTGGCCACTGAACCCAATAACAGTACAGTGGCCAAGATTGGCAGCCTGGCCCTCCAGCTGTGATGGATCTGGCCAGGAGGGCCAGGCTGCCAATCTTGGCCACTGTATAAGCTGGTAGTTGGCATCAATGTTATTGGGGTCAGTGGCCACTTGGTTCACTCCTTCTGGTGAGCTGGAAGAGTTTCCCATGACTGCAGTGAGCTATTGGATGGGTCTCTGACTTGTTGCCTAAGCACTGGAATGGCTATGGTTGATATAAGAAAAAATAAATCATGGATATGGTGGACATTTAGTACAAATAAACAGTTGGAAGGCTTCAAACTTGGAGAATAAAACCTTTAGAAAATCATGGTATAGTACCTTGTTTTGAAATTGGAATAGCTGCATTGTGGTACTGGTGTGGTGGTATTACTGCCTGGCATGACATGGGAAGCCATAGAGGCCTTTGCAACCAATAAAACTGGAAACCATGGGAAGCCAACAGGCTACCTTTGAAACTGTATACATGGGAAAAACCATGGACAAGATGGCTTACTTTCATTACTACCCCATCCCATCCCAGGACCCATGCACCTTTTGCACACACATTCTGCATGGCCAGGGTCTGGCACTGGTCTTGCCAAAAAAATGCATTGGTTTAAAAAAACACAATGGCATATATATATATATATGTATTTATATTTATATATATATATATGGTACATGCCCTCTCACTTGGCCTTCATGGCTCTCATGGTGGTGCTGGTCTTCATGGCTTTCATGGCTGGCATGGCCTTCATGCCCTTCATCACCTTCATGGCCTTCATTGCCTTCTGGGCCTTCATGGCCTTCTAGGCCTTCATCTTGGTCTTCCTGGGCTGGTGGTGGGCCCTAGCAAAGGTTTTGTAGCAGATGTGGTGGTCTCCTGGGTGGTAGCCCCTGCCTGGAAACAGCACCATGTGGAAAGCAAAAAAGTGGTGGCACAGGTTTATTTGGGAAAAATACCGTATGGATTAAAATTGCCTTTGGGCATAGATCTGGTTCTGGAAAATCACCTGCATGGAGCATCCCCCATGGCCTGTCATCCCAGCTGGCTAAGACCATTGGATCCACCTGGGGCCTGGCTAGCCCCAGCCAAACAGGATGTTAACTGAAACTAATTGGCTGTAAAACAGCAAGGTACCACATTGGTGCCAAGGAACCATGTTTGGCACCCATTGGTCCACACCAGGACTTTATACCTCCTGGTATCATTTTTTCTATCCTATTTCTACTTGGCCTGTGGCACTGGCCCTGTTCATGGCTTGGGCCTGGGCAGCAGTTATGGCACTGGCACATGGCTGCCATGCTCTATACATGGGTAGCCATGAAGGCTTTTGGTGCATGGCTGACATGGACAGTGAATCAGTTTGACAATGTATGGCTGCATTGGCTTTGTGCTGTGCACATTTGCCACAGTAGCAGCAAAAGCAAGCATTTTATTCAGCTGGAAATTAAACTATACTACTGAAATTATATACTAAACTATGTGGCATGCCCTTTCTGGCCGTTAGCCTTTGCCTTTGCCTCAGCTTCTGGTGGCCCATCATTGGTGGCCATGTTGTAAAGCAATGGCTGGTCCTTGTCAATAGGCGCATCATTGGTCAAGATTGAAATGCTAATGGTCAGGTGGGAGATGGGTAGGTTGGCATCACCTTGGTCTTTGGTCTGCCTGCACCACCAAAATGGCACCAATGAACAATCTGGATTGGGAAACTCATGGGCAATATTGTTTCCATGGCTGGAATTGCCACTGGTGGATAAAAGCTAACCATGGCATTGGTGACCCTTTAGCCTTGATGTGGACAATGTTGGCTAATGGCATCAATTTCAATTGATGTCTCCTTGCAACCCTGGCTTAGGTAGCATCTTTTCCAGTTTTGCCAGCATTTTTCAGATGCCATCTGTATCAACTTTGGTGGCTTGGGCCTCTTCAAACACATTTTGGGACACAGCCATGGCAATTGCAGATCAATAGCATAGCGAATTGAATTTGGTTTCATGGGACATATGTGGTACAAAAAACACACAAATATTTCTTGCCATGGGGAGCCATTTGCTTGGCTTTGGGAAATGAATGGCAAACTGAGAGCTTCACCTATGCTGGCAGCAAACTGACTGTATGGGTAGCCATAAAGGGTTTGGCTGCAGCTCTTTTCTTCCATTTCCTCACAAAATGCCCTTAATTGGCATGCTACAAGCTGCCTCACTTCGTGGTCTTGTGGGATCTGGTAGGCTGCTCCAAAGCAGTGGTAGTGCCTGGCCTCAAGTGGCAAATCACTGGGTCCAAGTGGTCTGGCTCCAGCAGAACTTCTTGCCAGATACCAAGCAATCCACAAGTTTGTCACCCACAGTGATGGTCACCACACATGGTGATGGTGCAGCAATCCTTTTTTTCTTGGCTGGTGGATCTGCTTCCTGCTGGTCAAACAAATTATTGTTTCCATCACCTGGATCTTCACAGTGGACTTTCTTGATCTCTTGGTTTCTGGCTTCAATGAGTTGCCCCAATGGCTCCAGCTGTGACAAACTGGCATTCCTCTTTGGCTGCCTACCATGGAGAAGGTAAATAATTGGCTGGGATGTTGGTCTCACTTTGAGATACTTCTGACCTTCATGGTTCAAAATGAGGCTATGTGGGATGAGCACTGGCTTCTCCTCTTGGTACTGAATTTCAATGGCTTCCTTGATGGAGACCATGGCTGAACCAGTTGTATAGGATGGCAGGAGATTGGCACACCAATTGGTTTGAACAACTTGGCTGTCTCAAAGAAAAATAATGCAATGCATGGCATGGGCAGCCAATAAGCTTTCGATTTGTTTGCCATGATGTTGCCCCTATAAATTTCATTCTTGTTTGAAAGAAAAAGCAAGAAAAAACATTCTGTTAAAATCAAAACTTGCTACCAAACACAAAGGGCCTTTCCACATAAATGAATTATATCATGTTTTTTTTTCCAATTTGTTTTTCCTTTTGCTTCAAAGTTTGTTGCAGTCTGGGTCAAAATTTTACTTTTTCTAAACCATATTTTTGATATAGCTAACTCTGCTAACTTTGCTAAATATTTAGGGAAGTTAAGTTGAGTTCGCTAAATAACTAAATATGATACTAACTTATGTTAACTTAACATAGCACTTATACTTAGTTGTACATAGTTACAACATAGTTAGCACATAGTTAAAACATAGTTAGCACATAGTTAGAAGTAGTTGTTAACATAGATTAACTAACATAACTTCCACAACTAGTTATAACAAAACCAGGATTTCAAGTACCGAGTGAGCGGCCGAGTGCCGCCAGCTTCGGCCGGGGATGTTCCCCGCGAGTGAAGGAGGGAAGAACACCAACCAGTGAGACTGTCGAGGGCAAGGTTTTTGTAGAGGGCAAGGACGTCAGGCTTGGCAAGCCGAAATATATGACGACGTCCTTGAGTATAAAGCGACAATCGGGCTTGGTAAGCACGTTGTTGAGAATGCGGCAACAGTCGGGCTGGGCATTGGTGGTGGATCCGGCAACTATGAGACTGTGAATGGATTGGTTGGTGACGATGGCGACAAGTGTGATGATGAGCCTGGCATGGATTGGCGCGGGTATGGTGCCCAGATGCTGGGGAACATCTTCATGGCCGAGGCGGCTTGTGGTGACAGCGACAGTGGTGAAGTGGTGAGCCCCAAGGAGAGAGCTCGTAGGGGCATTCGAAAGAGGAAGATCAACTCATCTACGAGAAAGAAGCTGCAGCACATGGGGCGGCAGCTTAGTTAGTTTGGTGTTGATGGCATGCGCTGGTGCAATTTGTAGCTTTGCGGAGGAGGTCTTTGTGGGGCCGATTCAAGACCTGTGGATGGCAACGGGTTTTGGTGGAGAGGGCAGGGTTCACTGCCTTGAGGTGTTTGCCGGTGAAGCGGAGATCTCCGGCGCTTTTGCTGCTCATGGTTTGGGGGTCTTGCGTCCTCGAGATATCAGGTATGGAGATGATCTACGTGACCCTGAGGTGCGTGCAAACATCTTGGAGGAGGTGCGGCAAAGAAGGCCAAAAGTGGTTTGGCTGGCCCCGCCGTGCACGGCGTGGTGTGCATTTTCCAGGCTGAACCACACCAAGCAAGAGCGACGGCGCATTCGTCGTCGTGAGAAGGTCTTTCTGGAATTTATTGACGAGGTCTTCTTGATCCAGCGCATGAATGGAGGGCATGTCGTGGTTGAAAATCCAGCCACTTCTGACATTTGGCTTCACCCCATTTTGGCGAGGTGGGCTCGTGACAACCAGGTGGAGAGTTTTGTCCTCCACATGTGCGCTTTTGGTCTGGAGTCGATAGCACACCCTGGCATGGCCTTGAAGAAGAGCATCAAGTTGATGGCAACAGATCCGAGCTTCAGACAAGTGCTGGAGAGGAGGTGCAACCAACAACATGAACACGCTCGAGTACAGGGCAAAGACACCAAATGGTCAGGCGTTTACCCGCCTGGGTTTGCTGAGGCGGTGGTTGAGGCGACCAAGAGCGCTGGAGCTCATCAAGTTTTGGTGGCTGAAGACGGCACGGGCCGAGATTTGGAGATGGAAGTCATACCCGAAGAAGCTAGTGGTAGCAGAGGGGCAAGCGACATCACCTTCAAGGGGACGGTTTCTGGCAAGGTAGCTGGTGCTCTGAGGAGGATGCATCAGAATCTTGGGCATCCTTCGAATCGTGACATGGTGAAGCATCTGACTCTTGGGAGAGCTCCGAAGGAGATGGTGGCGGCAGCTCATAACCTCCACTGCAAGACCTGTACGAGATGCAAGCGCCCGCCGGCGCACCGTGTCACAAAGCCGGCGACCCTGCTAGACTTCAATGAGGCGGTGGCCCTGGATATCATCTACATCGATACGGTGGAGTCCAAGGGCAACTTGGCACTCAACATGGTGGATGTGGCATCGTCCTACCAGGTAGCCATACCCATTGAAAGTCCGCATGCTCCTGTGGTCTCCGAAGCCTTCTACAAGCATTGGGTAGCTTGGGCAGGGGTACCTGCCAAGATTATCCTTGACTTAGACACATCATTCCAGGACAGCTTCTGGGAGATCACCTCCGGCGACAGCATCTGCATGAGGAGTGCCGCGGGTCAGGCACACTGGCAGAATGGGGTGGCGGAACGATACAATGGAGCATGGAAAGATGTGTGGGATCGTGTTTGCCTGGAGTGTAGCGTCACCGACAAAGACTTGTTTGATGCAGCGGCTGCGGTCAATGAAGCCCGCAACATTGAGAAACCGGTCTGGTTTCTCGCCAAGGCAATGGGTTTTTGGAAGCAACGGAAGACTGGTCCCAGATCCTGAAGATGGCGCTGAACAATTGAGCGCGCTCAGCAACATCACTGCGGATGAGAAGATGGCGCGCGAACAGACTCTCAGAGTGGCAGCGCGCATGGCCTTCTTCCAAGGCCACTCTGTAGATGCAGTGCGGAAAGCCTTGGCTCATCGACCTCGGGTGCAACCCAAGGAGTTCAAGCCGGGCGACATGGTCTATGTCTACCGCGAGAACAAGAGCAAAGGGAAACGAGTGTCTTCCAGGTGGCTTGGCCCTGCCACTGTGATCGGCCCAGAAGGTTCTAACTACTGGGTGGCTCGTGGTGGTCGTTGTCTTTTGGCGGCAGGTGAACATCTTCGCATGGCAGAACATGAAGAAGTCAGCGAGGCGTTGCGGATCAAAGCAGTGCTCCATGAGGTGAAGAAAGCCCTGGATGCTGACTTCGAGGAGGCAGTCGACGACATGGCTGTGGGTGATATGGAGGTGGACGAGGATATGAGCTTCGAAGCGCTTTTGGATGAGGCGGTGATGGGCGATGAGCCACCACCACAAGCCGGGCGTGCCAGCGCTCGAGATGTCGAACGAGCACATCGATCTCAAGAGGCAGAAGTGTGTTTTGAGCGCCTTGCCAAGCAGTCCAGGCTCTTGGACGATGTCCCGGTGTCAGTCAGAAAGCACCTCCGGACGCATGAACCTGGTGAACCTCGCGGTGGTGGGTCAGCGAACGTGAGGCCAGTTCCAACTTTTTCACCAAGCGTATTGGAAGTCCTGAAGCTTTGGAGAAGGCATTGTGGTAGCCCTCGCACAGGTTGTTTGAAGTAGAGCTTTCGAGGCGCCTCCACTCCATTGAGGAAGGCAGCCCTGATGTCGCCGATAGACACCCGCCAGCTCCATGACAAGGCCAAAAGCAGGCATAAGAGGATGGAGTGTCGGTTTGCTGTTGGTGCATCCACGGCCATCTCTGTTGTCCCCAAATCGGGGTCTCGTTGTCCTCCCACACACAGTCTTGCTTTGGCTTTACACTCGACAGTTGGATCTGATCTCCTTTTGGCCAAGTTCTTGTCCCTGTATAAGAACCGAGAAGGTAAAATTCTTTCCTTCCCGACTTCCACCTCCACCCTGGCGCTCTCTTCCAATGAGAGCGGACGAACTGCTCCATACTGTAGATGTTCATCCCATTGCTTTTGCTCAGCGGCTCTAAACAAGTCCTTCTCGTCCGCTGAGATCATATGCCATGGGATCTCCTTCTCAGGACTGATGCCTGGACAACTGGTGGAGATCGTGAAGGGAGTCTTTGGGCTCTCAACAGCCCCCAAACTATGGTGGATTAAACTCTCAACCGAGTTGATGCAGATCAAGATCCCCTATTATGGCAAGGAGGAGATTTACGTGGAGCAGAACGAGATAGACCCCTGCGTGTTCTTACTCAAAGGGCACGGCGGCAGGGTGGTTGGCGCCATTTTGACACATGTGGGGAATCTCATGATCATGACAGAGCCAGCCCTACACCAAGAACTGCAAGCCGAGATCAGCAAGCGCTTCCCCGTCGATGACTGGGAAACCGACGCCTTTGAGTATGTGGGGTGCCAGTACGAGATTGGCCCTGAAGAGATCAAGATCTCTCAAGAGAACTATGCACAGAGCCGACTGGAGAAGGTGCGCATTCCTGGCGGGCTGAATGACAATGACCCAGCTCCTGAGGAAATGATCCAACAGAACCGTACGACAGTCCGCTGTTTGTCCTGGCTGGCGAAGCAGACCCGGACAGATATTCAATTCATGGTAGCACAGGCTCAACGTCTTCAAGCAAATCCTACGGTTGGTGATGTGAAGAACACCAACAAGATTGTTGACATGGCCAAGCGCTTCAAGGACGAAGGCATAAAGCTCAAGAAAATTGATGTGAATGACATGATAATCCTTGCCTTCCACGATGCGGCTTGGGCGAATGTGGATTTGGAGGAAGAGATCGACCCAGCTTGGGACGGAGACACCAAGCTTTCATCACAGCTTGCGTGTCTGATCATGGTCGCCGACAGAAAAGTCTTGGAGAACAAAGAGGGCAACGCCTCATTTGTGGACTGGCGTAGCTGAGCGAGCACAAGAGTCTGCAGATCTACGTTTGCAGGCGAGACTATGGCATGTGGCATGTGGTGAGCCGATGGAAGCTGCGCTGTATCTACGGTGCCTCTTGCTGTCATTCCAACAAGGACGTCTAGTTCCAGAAGAAGAAGCTGGCGCATTCAAGAGGTGCACCTGTGTACCGATTGCAAGAGTCTTTACGACCATTTACATCGAGAAGGAGTACCAAAAGCTCCAACAGAGCGACGCCTCGCCATCGACTTGGCGGCTATTAGGCAGTCCCTCAAGACTGAAGCAATCCACCAATGGAAGCGTCGGTATGGAATCGGGGCTGTGCGTCCTGACAAACCATGCAAGCCACCACTGCATTGGGTGCCCACGGAAGAACAATTAGCCGACATTCTCACGAAAAAGATGAATCCGGCTCAGTGGTGGAGCGCAGTGAGAGACGGTAGATTGAAGCTTCCTTTTACCCTGCCGAACGCGCGAAAGTCAGGCATGGATTCCTGA